TATCTTTCAAATGGATAATCTTTCAACTGAACTCTACTCACTGTATTCCTATCAATGTCTATTCATTATGTAATCAATTGTTTCTAACCCACTTTTGAACTGCTGTCACGATGAATGCTCTAGAATATTCTTTCACATTAGGTATATATTTACAATATTCAGCCTATTAATTTCATTTACATCCATGACATACTTCACGAATATTTCTTCAATGTAAACCCTCTCATGTAAGCAATTTAAACCCATTATGTAATTATTATCTTTTTAAATATCACAGGTTGTAACCAGCTGACAAGAACCTACGAAATAGAAATGAATTCATGTTATTCTGCTAGAATCTTTGTTCTTGTTCCTTTCAAAATGATAAAGGGAACTATGTGTATGAAATAAAATTGATAATCAATATGTTTTGATCCTACTATACTTACTTACTTACTTACGCCTGTTATCCTCGTCAAGGAGCATAGGCCGCTCACCAGTATTCGCCATCCAACCCTGTCCTGGGCAATCCTTCTAGCTCCATCCAGTTGTAATTCATCGTTTATCTGCTTCGTTATCCGACAGAATGTTCTTTGGCCTTCCTCTTTTTCGCTTCCCTTCAGGATTCCAAGTTAGGGCTTGCCTCGTGATGCAGTTTGACGATTTGCGTAATGTATGTCCTATCCATTTCCATCGTCTTTTCCTAATTTCTTCTTCAGCTGGAAATTGATTTGTTCTCTCCCAGAGAAGGCTATTGCTGATGGTATCCGGCCAATGGATGTTGAGTATCTTGCGTAGACAGTTATTTATAAATACTTGTACTTTCTTGATTGTGGTTGTTGTAGTTCTCCAAGTTTCAGCTCCATACAGTAGAACTGCCTTGACGTTCGTATTGAAGATTCTCACTTTGATATTGGTAACAGTTGTTTTGAGTTCCATATGTTCTTCAATTGTAGGAATGCGACCCTTGCTTTGCCGATCCTCGCCTTTACGTCTGCATCGGATCCTCCTTGTTCATCGATGATGCTTCCCAGGTATGTGAAGGACTCTACATCTTCCAGAGTTTCGCCATCAAGTGTGATTGGACTGGTGTTCTAATTCCGTAGTTGGTGGATTGACATCTTTAGGAAGATCTATGGTGCTGCTTCGATTCCGGTGGATTCATTGGAGCCGGCCTATTCAGGAGTTCCTCGAAGTATTCTACCCATCTGTTACGCTGTTGTTGAATTTCGGTGATTGGCTTGCCTTCTTTGTCTTTGACCGGCCTCTCTGGTTTACTGTATTTCCCTGATAGTTTCTTCGTTGTATCGTAAAGCTGTTTCATATTTCCTTCTCTAGCAGCTTTTTCTGCCGTCGTTGCTAGTTCTTCCACGTATTTCTTCTTGTCGGCTCTAATGCTCCTCTTCACTTGTTTGTTTGCTTCTATGTATTCAGCTTGTGCTTGGACTTTCTCTGCTCGTGTTCGGTTGTTGTTTATTGCTGCCTTCTTGTTCTTCCTTTCTTTGATCTTGTCCAGTGTTTCTGTAGAGATCCATTCCTTATGATGGTATTTCTTTAGACCGAGAACCTCTTGACACGTTGAAGTTAATGCTTCCTTGATGCCTTTCCAGTTGTCCTCCATAGTAGTTTCTTCTTTCAGTAGATCTTGTAAGGCTTGGAACCTGTTGTTGAGAGCTATCTTGAATTCATTGAGTTTGACAGTATCTCGAAGGAAGGCTGTATTGAACCTTTGTATTGCTGTTTGTCCACTTGTCCAGTTCTTTTTTAGCTTCAGTTTCAAATTGGCTACAACTAGGTGGTGATCTGAAGCTACGTCAGCACCTCTCCTGGTTCTCACATCTTCCATTGTCCTTCGGAATTTTTTGTTGATGCAAATATGATCTATTTGGTTCTCTGTAGTGTGGTCCGGTGAGATCCATGTAGCCTTGTGTATACGCTTGTGTGGAAATATTGTGCCTCCTGTGACCAATTTGTTGAATGCACATAGATTTGCAAATCTTTCTCCATTTTCGTTTCTTTCTCCCAGTCCATGTCGTCCCATAATATCTTCATATCCAGTGTTGTCTATTCCGACTTTGGCATTTAGATCTCCCATCAGAATAGTTAGGTCCTTTCTTGGGCATTTCTCAATGATTGACTGCAGCCGCTCGTAGAACTGATCTTTAATTTCGTCGTTGCTATCATTGGTGGGTGCATAACATTGGATAATATTCATTAAGATCCCCTCCTTCTTTGTTTTGAATGATGCTTTGATGATTCTGGATCCGTGAGATTCCCATCCTACAAGTGCATTTCGTGCTACTTTGGACAGCATAAGAGCGACTCCCTGAGTGTGTGGAGCATTGTCCTCTTCGTGACCGGAGTATAGCAGCATCTCTCCCGTAGCTAGCCTTTTCTGTCCAGTTTGGGTCCAGTGGGTTTCGCTGATTCCCAGTACTGCTAAGTTGTATCTCCTCATTTCCATTGATATTTGACTGGTCTTCCCGGTTTCCCACATTGTTCGAACGTTCCATGTACCTATAAAAATTTTTGCTCTGGTTGTTTAGAAGGGGCATCGGCCTCGTGGCTTCCGAAGGAACTCGGCTTTCACCATGAAGCGTCATAATTCTTCTAAATGAAGACCTTCTAACTCCCAGGGCAGAGTTAAAATGGTTTGGATTATTTTTTCTGGTAAGCGTTTTTTTAGTGAGTTAGTTTTCTACGGGATGGGGAAGCTAACCCCATGCCCAACCCTCCTCCTTTACCCGGGCTTGGGACCGGCAGCAACCCTATAAGAGCTACAGGCGGAGTTGTTTTGATCCTACTACATCACTTATCGTTCTGTTGTGAGATAGTCACACATTGAAGAAAAATGGTGAACTTTGGCTCAATATCGTGGATTGGTTGAAGTTAGACATGAACACCGTTGAATGTCGACTTACTGGTTTAGAAGTTGAGAGTTCGCGTATGAGACTGATAGATCCTTGGTTCGAGTATGACGTGAAAAGTCCCACAATAAGATGTAAAGGCCCTCTTTTGCTTCCAGGTTTTCCATGATGGTCTAGTTTCAATCCAACTAATCAAATTTTAGAAATACTCTATATAGATGTAAAATTGACTTTAGCTAACAATATTGTGTATATTACACCCAAAAAATATAAAAACTTATGGGATTCTCTCGAATTTTTTTCCTCCATGATTATTTGTCGCGGTTTTGTTTTTCTCAATTTTTTTTTAAACACAACATAATACACTGATCTAGTAATCCGTAGGGGTATGGGGGGAAAAATAATGAATTTGATATTCATTCATTTCATACTTCTCTTTCCTTCCTCACTATATTCCATTTCTTCTCTTCTGTAGACACGCCACTATATACACATATACTATATATAATTGATAATAATATTCGTAATAGTGGAAACTAAAGTAACCCTTACCCCTCCCCCCGAAAAAAAGATACTGTATTGCACGCAACTATTGTAGACTGTATAATTAATTCCACATGTTTACATGGGTTTGACTTCTTACATATCCTGCGTGTAATAAGTAATTCCATTCTATCAGTTATTTCTTATTTCCGTTAAAGTTCTTTACCTCTTTTATTTATGAATGAACTATGTTGTAATACATGGTTAAATGTAAATATGAATATTTTCATGTGGCTTTTTATTGAAGACAATTATGACGTGTCATATTAAGTTAACATAACGATATCATGGAAACATTTCGTTTGTAGTCTTTATGTGTCCCAAGATCTGACTACAATTTGGATTGCATAAATGATTGTTATTGAAATATACACATCACCAATCCTCGTACGTGATCATCGACTTAACAGAATTAAATAAGTCAAATACGAGAAAAGAGTTCGTGTACGTATATTTCATACAATCATTGATCTGAACAAACAACCAGAGCGGTGAAGTGAAGAAAAGAGAAAGAAGCGAAATGAGTTAGTTAACTCTCTTTAATCAAATGTTATTCAATATTTATAGCCAAACAAAAAAAGGTTACAGATATGTGATCACACTTGACAGAGAAGTATTTCAGGATGGAAAAAACGTTTACATACTTGAGAAGCATCATTGATGAACACAATGGATCTGATGCAGATGTGAAGGCGAGGATCGGCAAATCAAAAGCAGCATATTTACAATTGAAGAACATCCACAATTCAAAACAACTATCTGCTAACCAACAAACAATTCACAATTTTCAATACAACTGTCAAGACAGTTCTACTATATGGAGTGGAAAACTTGGAGAACCAGTAAAACGATGATCCAGAAGACACAAGTGTTTATTAAGAGTAGTCTTTTGCAAAGTATTTCCCACCAGTTGGTCAGACAGTATCAACAAGAACCTACTGTGAGAGAGAACAAACCAGATTCCAATGGAGGAAGAAATCGGGAATAAGCTCTGGAAGTGGATAGGACACACATTGAGGAAAGCATCCAAGTGCGTCACAGTTCAATCCCTGATCGCATGGAATCGTCAAGGCCAAAGGAGTATAAGAGGACGACCAAAGAACACATTACGCCGAGAAATGGAGACAAGTTTGAGGTGAATGAACAACAATTTGATAGAACTAGAAAAGAAGGTCCAGAACAAAATTTGTTGTAGAATGATGGTCAGCGACCTATGCTCCATCAGGAGGAAAAACCTTAAGTAAGTAAGTATGTGATGAATAGGACAAAAGGTGTACACACATAAGCACATATAAAAACAGTTAAGTTCGATAAGCCAATTATTAACAAGGTCAAAACGTAACTCAAGGAGAATGAATAGATTGGCCTGTCCAGAAGCCAGAATAATCTATGTGAGTATAACATAGTAACCGATACTACAAGTTTGGTGTGTCACAATAAGAAAACACTCATGTCATCGAATCACATACAACAAAAAACAGTTTGATCAGTAACACTACTCATCATTTCAAACCAAAATCTCATTAGAAATTGAACTTCATAACTTGCCTTCTAATCACCCAATTACTTAGACGAATTCATTTTTCAGCGCATGTTATAACTTTAGTTACTATGGTATTGCTCACAACAATCAGTTGTTATATAAATAGCATACAAATGAAGTATATTTTGGTTCATATAATCAATACAACTTCATGTAAAAAGAAGTGTTGTAGTGAACAAGAACACCAGTGAGGACAATCGAATGTATTTAGCACACAAATTACAGAATTACTCGGTAAAGTAGAAAAACCAAATAGTAAATCGTTAATTTGCAAAATATCATTCCATTGTCTCA